AGCCAGGGTATTGTGTAACGTCAGCAGTACCCAAATTTTATGAGCAAAAATTGTTAAAAACCTAAAATTCATTGTCGATGACATACTGAAAAACTATCAACATTCGTTCACTCATTTGGCAGAAATTTCAAACTTTCTGACACAAGCCATCATTGCACTTTCAAATAAATAGTGTAACGTAGCCAGTGCACATTCGAATCAGTGATGGAAAAGTAGGCACAATACTGCTAATTTTGGCACTTTCATTCTCCGGGGCCCTTTTGGCACAATTCATCCCCTTTTGGCACAATCATAAAATATAGAAATTTAGCATAAAATGTCAATATGTAGCAAAAAATGTATTACAAAAAATAAAAATTTAAAGCACTAAAAAATAAAATAAGGACCGAGAGAAATATTTACAAACCGCTGAATTCTATTGTGAATACACAGTACGAAAAGTATGTTTTCGCAACAACTAGCTTTTAATTCAGAATTTTTAGAAAGATTCTAAGGTTGCAGTTTTATTTTTCTGATTTTTTTTTCTGACGATGTCATACCGTTTCATCCATTTAAAAAATTTTGGGACACACTACATGGAAAAGGATTCATAAAATCGAAAGTTTGGAATCTCTCTAAAAATTCTTAATTTAAAGTTTGTTGTTGCGAAAACCTATAAATTTTATACAAAGTTTGAAATGCCGATTTGTGTACATATATTGTGTTCAGTAAATTATGAGTCAGACTTTTATATAAAATCAATACAAAAATAATCAATGAAAAGAATATACGAAACTGGCACATTTTGAAATTCCATCCCTGATTCGAATGCCTGTAACTGTGAAACCCAAGGATTTATTAAAACCTTTCCTTTTCAGAGACATATGTAGACTTGACCCTGCCTAATCACATTACCTGAAAAGTCCAGTTGGTTTTGTGTTATCTAATGAACAATTGATTCATATTGTAGAAAAAATGCGTACGAATGTAACTTAGCCAGTCAAATAACGACCATATATGTATGTAAGTACTGTAGATAACATTTTATTAGTTAATTCCTAAGGTATCAGTTCCAAGAGTGAAATCCCATTTTCGCACTCCATAAAATAGGAAGTAACATGAGTTTAATAAAATAACTTTGGCACGTGCCCCTCGCTTTTTGTGGTGAGAATTTTGGCAAATTCACAGAAAAACGTCACAAAAAAAAAACAACTATAAAAAATTATTAGCAAAATGTGAATGCAATACATTCAATACCAATTAATCTCAGCTCGCCCAGCCCACTGATTTGTTGTTAGTCGCGTTGTACCCGGCACGAAAACGCAACGAAACAAAAGCATTCGACATTATCTCCATATAATGACAACAATAAAAAAATAATGCCCGCATAAAGGAAACAATAATTTTGGCATTTGAAATGCTGCAGGATAAAAAGATACAATGACTGATAGATAATTCGTTACGCCTCCTTTTGTTGAAGCCTTAAAAAACAGCAGACCGACGCGAAGCAGCTCAAAGCGAAAGGAAGCGAATATCCCTAAGCGATGGCCACAAAACTCCGAATTAACCCTCAAACTCAGCGGAAGGCAATACTGGGAAGTGGTTAGTTAGGAGAGCAGTAGAACTGGTTATCCGAATGAATTTGCTTTGGTTACTTTGCTTGTGTTTTCATTGGAGGATTTATGAGCGCCGCAAAAACATACCGCACGCAATAATTTAAACATGATTAGGAGTGCGAGTGTTATTACAGCTTCCAGCCCAGAGGGCTTATGGCCCTAAAATGAAAACAACTCGGCGCATAGTTTGAATAAAATTGAAACAGTTAATCCGGCTACCAAATCTAAAGCGGAAAACTATTAAACGCAACCAAAACAAAAGGTGAATCGTTTTCCTATCTAACTGCATACATATATTTAAGTATAGATTATAATGAACTGTTATGCTTTCGAAGCGCCAATCTTTTCAATTGCGCTGTGAAGGGTGAAAAAGTGATGTCACGGCACTCAAATCCGACTGCTCATTATTTGGAATTTCACTTAGTTAGTCGTAGTAAAAAGGATTTGTTTATATTTGGTATTATGCGCAGGCAAATTAGTTTCAATGATTTTTTATTATACTCGTACTCGTAATTGGCCGGAATTTAATTGGAACGTAAAAATGAAGAACTTTTCTAGAAAAGATTAGGGCTGGCGAACGTGCTGAGTTGTGCTTACTTTTTATTACAAAAGTCCCAAATTCTTTATATTCAGTTTCAGCAATCTATTACCTTGTTTACACCGACACACAAAGCGTTTTGATCCAGTTCGCTGTGATTCAAAGCGGATGTGTAAACCAAATTTCAATGAGCTCAGAAATTTCAAAAGACGGATTCACAACTGTGTCGTAAGTGTCGTATTGTTGTATGTTGTAAACTTTAAAAGCTTAAATAAATGTTTGGGAAACCTGAAACCACAACCAACTACTTTTTAACACTGTGAAAATTCATAATATGACTTTGATGGTACTTTGCGAACCCCCTTAATATATTTTTTAGGCGTTTAAAGTTTACGACACTTACGATACCGTTGTGAATACCCCAAAAGTGTATTCACTCGAATTTGTTTTCAAATCGGTTTATTTTATTTTTCACATCGGTTAGAAAAAAGGTATAAACACATCACCAATTTAACGCAAAGTGAAAATAGGCCGGTTTTCTTTATACAACCCGTTTTAAATTTTAAATATTGTTCTTTTCCATTTCGTTCAATCGCGTAAATTAATTTTTAAAGAAATAACGAAAGAAAACAAAAAAATTTGTTTGATTTTGAATACGGTTTCAGCGAGTTCACTGTAAAGACGCAGGTTTCTTGCTAATGGTTTGGGGGTTAAACTACGTGTCAGTCAGTGGGGACCCACGGGGGGTGTTTTAATATGGCGCATATGTATGCATAAAATGGTGTCTATGTATTAAAACACTCCCCGTGGGTCCGCCATTGCTTGTTGTATTTGGATCCATTTGTGCATAGTCGCAAACTGTGGAAAGTTAGCATGTTTTTTTTCAAGTAAAGTCCTTTACAGTTTTTCACGTTAGCGACTTGAAATAAAAAAGGAAGGTGAATTCATACAAGGTGGTGTTACCGGAGTAGCTGATTTTAAGGCCGATTGTTAAAATTATGGGTTTTTTTGTGTTCTGATTTTCATTATATTTGTGCTGCGCTCTCTGCAAATTTTGAATCAAATTTCTTTGAACGATTGAAAGAACTTTTATTCAGACTGAGCATTTGGAAACAAATGTACGTACTGCTATTTGCTATCATTTGTTAGGTTCCAGTAGAATTGCCTCCTAACGCAACAATATTGAAATAATAGGGAAATTTATTAAGTCTTGCAGAACACTGAGGCTTCCTTCCTCTATTGTTGCATCTTGGGATTCCTGAAAACAATAAACTTTAAAAATCATTGCAATCAAATACGATGACTGCGAAAAGTGTTCTAGAGCGTATGAATGCGTTAAACAATTTAAGGTCAACTGGAAAAATTCTCTTGCCCTGGGTTACAGGTAAGAATGTTAATCCCGGGATCCCGATATCCCGGACTTTTTAAGGTCTCAAATGCCCCCGGGATTCTTGGCAAGAATATATATATATTACTCTGACGTCAGTAATTCAAAAAAAAAAATTTCTAAAAAATTCAGAAAAATGTGCTTAGAGAAGAAGTATGGGTATAAAATTGATGAGAAAATCCTGTAGAATTTAAACAGATTCAAATTTCTGGTGCAGAAGGGCTGGTAAATATTGAAAATGTCATTTTAAAATTTTATCCTTGAAATTTCGCAATATTTGTTTTTGAAAAAATTATATGTTAAGGGCTTTTATAAACTCGATAACATCCTCCAATTTCGTTATTCTAACTTTGTCTGCTTAAAAATTACTTATTCGTCCTTGTGAATCCAAAAAATTTAAATTTTTTAAATTCCAAAGAAATTTCTTATTGCATTTGTTACCCATATTTTTATTCTACATTGCATTGATTTTATTTAATAATTTTTGGAATTAATTATATCTTTGAAATTACAAAGTCCTTCAAAATAAATCCTGCGGTTAGAGAGAAAAAATAAAAACGCCACTTTAAATAAAAAAGTTGGTTTCAAACCCATTTATTTGTTATTTATTTCATGGTAGGAGAGCTTCTCAAACAATACAGAAGCAATTTTTTCGAAGCAAGTTGTTGAAAAGTAATGAATAACTAAATCCCGGGACTAATCCCGGGTTCCCGGGATTGTGACAACGCCATCCCGAAAATACCGGGATCGGAAAAAGCCGAAAAATTAACATCCCTAGTTCCAGGACACAAGCGTTCGCTATCGCTAATTTTCTACTTCTAGATTTGTCTGGTTAGACATTTTAGGCACCGCTGCTTTTCATTTAGAGAACTTTGGCAAAGAAAATTTAGCGTAGCCATAACTTGTCAGCGAACCATGCCTTTAAGGTGGGGTGTGATCAATAGCGATAACAGAAGGAAGTGTGAAATGAATAAGAAACAGTGCGACACATTGCCTGTAAATGCACGAAATGTTATTGGAACTCACTAAGACGGTATCATTGATTCTGAAAATGGTGCCAAATCATTATTTTTAATATTTCTGGTAACACTAGAGACGTAGTCTTAAATTTAATCAGCTTTCTTAACTCCAAAAGAAGCAAGTTTTTCAAAATCCTCTTTTTCTTCTTATCCTTACTTTCAATTTAAATTGCGATTTGTAGCTTCAAAATGCCACAAACATACATATCAATGGGTATTCAAGTTGAGACTTGGTTATTTCTAAACCAATATTCGAAATTTATAAGCCCATTCACTAAACATTTAGATGGTTCACGGAGGCCGCTAAGTTCTAAATCAGGCATTGGCAGCGTTGGCACAACTACATAAGCAAGTGCACTCGCTTATGGACTTCTGCCTGCGCTGCCCATCAATGTTCTAGACACACACCGCAGTATCTTAGCCGTTCATTACTTTTCCTAGTGTCATATTTTATTCCTTACCATTTCTCACTCGTACTCCTTCGCGTGTATCGCCCAAAATCGCTGAAACACTAAATTTTAATACGGGCTTCGTGCTGTTATCCTTCAGGATAGTTGTCTCTTTCTCCTCCACCTTGGGCAGTCTCAGCGCCTCCGTGTCATGCAGATCCATTTCATCATCACGTTCCGGATCGACCTCTGCATCCTCCATGTCATCGTCGATGCCAATTTCAGGCTCTTCTTCATCGTCCTCCACACTGTCAACACTCTCACTGCCACCATTCACAACACTCAAATGACAACACTTATCACATTTAAAATTGTTTTCACGGCGCATCATTTCGTCACCGCTGTAATTCTTTGTATTCATTAGTTGTGCGAAATTGCCGCAACGATTGCAACACAATTCTACACGTTCACCGATCCGACCACCGTCGGCATAGTGGCCATTGCTGGCACCATCTGTGCCGCTGGTTAAGCGATCGTACGACTGATCAATTGAATTACTCAGCGGCATAGTGTCTTCTTCATGCGTGGAAGAGATCGACGAGTTTCGGCTGAGCAACATTTCTTGACAGCTAGAAACCGTCGTTGCAGATGGAAAAGTTGCGACGGTGCCGAAATCACCGCGCGGATCCGCGATAATCGACACGGGCTCAAGGCTTGCCTTCGAATTGGCGTCCGCGGCAATCGTCAAGACGTGAGAGCTACGAGTTGCGACGGGTTTAGAGGTTTTGGCAAACTGCTTGTTATCGACCAGAAGCTCAGCTAACATGGCCACCCAGCGCGCGGACCAAACGGAAAGCACGAACGCACGTCTATTCTTGCGTACGTCTGCACTGCGTGGATGCGTAACCACGGCTCCGGATTCCGTGTAAATGAGGCAAGGACTAAATTGGTACTGAATCCATGTTGGATGCGTTGACTTTGAGTTGCGCGAGAATGGTGAATGGCTCTGGCTGACGATTCACTCATTGACTTGCATGTGCGGTGTGGTGTTGTTGGCAGGATGCCTAGTTAAGGGATGCTCAACGGTGGTTGGTCTATTTCTCCTGCCTTCTGTGTCGCACACTACGTGAGTGTGTGTGTGTGTGTGTGTGTGTGTGTGTGTGTGTGTGTGTGTGTGTGTATGAATACGGCTGTGGCAAGTGCAGCAATGCTTTTCTGCAACAACACGGCGCCGCTTGGCCGTTATGTACTTGCGCACTTAATACTTTTATGTAATTGTT